CACGTACACGCGCATGCGTGTATCTCGGTTACGTACCTCCGTGCCTATCCAGCCCTACCGCCCACAACCACCCTTCCATTTGCCATGTGTCATCCCCATACAGACAGTGACTGTAGCGAATGGCGTCTGCAATTGCATCTACCACAAGAACTACAGCGGGCTTCCCTGCAAACACATCGTTGCAATCAACCATCCTCGCGCTCACACCGTACGTCTCACAGACTTGGCTAGAGAAATTGATGTGAATGAGTCCAATTATCAACACACATACGAGCACGCAGACACACACACACATGCAGACACACACACACATGCACACATGCACATGCATTTGCGTGCTTGCTGACACGCACACGCACACACACACACATACACACATACAAGTAGATCCACGACATGTTCAAGCAAGCCGTCTACGTGCAAGCCTGGCATGACTTTGGCCTGCGTGTGCCGTTGGAGGCGTCGAGCGTGCCTTGCGACATGCTGCCACCACCTGCAGTCATACAGCCCGGGCGACCGCAGGAGAACAGACTGGAGCGACAACCACGCAACCGCACGCGTAATCGCAGGGGCAGGGGTCGAGGCAGGGGTAGAGGCAGGGGACGTGGTGAAGGTGGTGGTCGGGGTGGTCGACGAGGTGGAGGGAGAGCGAGTGTACGGGGGATAGCACGCGGCAGAGGCGGCGCACCTACGGCAGATGCAACCGCGCCGCCATTATCACAACCACCACAGCCACCACAACCGGTCTTCGTGAACGCGGCACCACTCATACAACCCCTACTCGGGGCGCATCAGGCCCATTCCCACCAGCACTGCCTGCACCTGTATACGGGCCAGCAGCGCCACCGCCTCTGATGCATGCCATGATGCCGAGCTTGTCAACGACACCGGTCATCACAAGCATATTGACGCCGCTGCAACTACCAATGACTGGAGCGGGATGGCAGACGTCCACTTTTGAGGACTCTGTTGTGTACTCGTGCCACTCCGGTAACGTCGTTTACGACACCACATTCGGCAGCACGCTCACCACCCTCCTTCCCCCAGACAGCACGTCTGCCTACATGACCTCGTTCACCCGCACGTGCCGGGCCGATCAGACCTACACCAACACGGAGCTGGCGTGTCATGACGTCAACGAGTGCGACCCAGACGCGTATGCAGCCTACACGGCCGCAACCGGCAACAGCGCCCAACAAGAGCAGTCGTTCAGCACGGCGTGCCAAGACGCATGCACCAACACAATTGGGTCGTTTGAGTGCTCCTGCCCTGCCGGGTTTGAGCTGCAAGCGGATGGGCGCTCGTGCGATGTGCTGTCGTGTGGGCTGCCGCCTTCTCGTCCCTTTGCCACCGTGGCCAGCCAAGACCAGCCCCGCACCTACCAGCAGCAGGCGCTGTACACGTGCGATGATGGCTACACCACCACGGGCGATGCACAGGCTACCGCCACCTACACGGCTACCTGCACGGTGACAGGCAACTACACGTTCCAAGGGACGTGTGTGGAGGTGGACGAGTGCGCTGCCCAGCCGTGCATGAACGGCGGCGTGTGCACGGACCTGGTGAACGCGTTTGAGTGCGCATGTGTCGGCGAGTGGGGCGGCCCGACGTGCAGTGATGACACTAACAGGCCGCCAGAACGCATCTCCCTCAGTACCACGCGCGTGCCAGAGAACACCTTCTCGCTGCCTCTCGTCACTGTCACTGTGGAAGACCCAGACACCCACCAGAGCCACACGCTGCAGGTGCTCTCATCAACACCACGCGCGTGCCTCCGCTGCGTTGAGCTCTCTTGCACACGACCATATGCTCACCAACGCCTTCCAATGCAGCTCATTGCTTCATCAACGCCCATGCCACATTCACATTTACATGTTTTACTTTCGGACTACGCTCCTACGCTCGCTCTCCGATTCTCGATGGTCCACGCTTCATTCGTGCCATAGCAACTGCTTCTTTCCGTGTTGTGGTGTGTACTTTTGAGTGACAACCGTCCAATATCTACACCGCCCAATACCCATCATCCAAGAACAACCATCAAAAATAACAGCCATACAGCAAAGCACAACGTACAACCACATCGCTGCAACGGCAAGAAGAAACGAAGAAGATGCAGGCGACATCACGATAGCAGAGGCCGGCACTGCTGCAACAGCGTCATCAAGCGCCTCAGGTCGTCGGGAGACGTGAACTCGCGTGATGCAAGAGCAGTGCACGCACTGAGCTGCGCACGCGCTCTCTCCTTGTATTCTCTCCTGCCCTTCTTCTTGTTCCTGCTCCGCCCAGCCTTATTACCGCCACCGTCTCCCACCAACGCCTCCAGAAGATCCTGCAGTCGCGCGCGGATGGCAGAGCACACCTCCACCACCTGCTGCCGCTGCTGCGCCACTTCATCAAACACATCCTCTCCACCCTCACCACTGCTACCTTCATCGGCTCCCTCACCAGCGCGCATGCGCTGCTTCTTGTGGTTTCTCCAAGCTGGTGCTGTTGAGGCAGCCGCGCCGCGGGAAAGAGGGTAGGAAACGAGACGCAAGGGTGGGAGACGTCCTCGGTGGTAAGAAAACACCGTATATGTGCCACCCAGGGCCAGCTCGGAGGCTATGTTGCGACGCTGGGCAATGCGTTTTGTGTAAAGTGAGGTTTTATAGCGTATAAGGTATTTTTTGTCTGTCAGTTGGTGCGTGAGGAGCGGGGGATAAAGGAATTAGGTATAATGAAGACCCCGATTGTAGGGGGTTGCGCTGATCTTTATCTGCTCCACCGCGACCCAAAGGGACAAAGAGAGCAAGAG